GTTTCTCCTGGTTCTCACTCCAAATGTGACTCTGGAGGAATGCAAGGGGAGTTGATAGGGGACTCTACCTGCGTTTTGAGGCACTATTTTGGGATACATTTTCACCCCTTTTCTCTGGTTCTCAAAAAAATTACTGACAAATGTTGACTCTGGAGGAATGCAAGGGGAGTTATGTCTGTCACTTTGGGTAACCGCACCACTGTCGGACGTCTCCCGAGAGTGGACGTCCATTGCCTCTAAATTGGGAGAAGACGCGTTTGCCATTTGATCAGTGAGGTCAGAGGAGAAGAACCCGCAGTTCGGAGGAACCGACCGCCAGAGCACCGGCACGAGGCCGGGCCGGCGGAGGCCCTCCGATGGCGTTTGCCATTCGATCAGTGAGGTGAGAGGAGAAGAACGCAGCAAAAATGTACAAAATCCGTTAATGTACGGTCGAGTTGGGGGGGGGGAACGGCTGGACAAAGGCTGCCGGGGGGCACCCAGGACCGGGCCGTGCCGCCGGTAGAAGGAACCGGGTGAAACGGGCCAAAACAGAAAGAAAAAGAAAAAGAAAAAGAACCAGACAAAAGGGGTGAAAATGTAAAAAAGTCTCCGAAAATAGTGCCTCATAACCCGTGTAGAGTCCCCTGTCAACTCCTCTTGCATTCCTCCAGAGTCAGAAAAAGTCTGAGTTCATTTTTGGACAACCATAGAAAAGGGGTGAAAATGGTAAAAAGTATCCGAAAATAGTGTCTCATAAGGCGGGTAGAGTCCCCTGACAACTCCTCTTGCATTCCTCCAGAGTCAGAAAAAGTCTGAGTTAATTTTTGGACAACCATAGAAAAGGGGTGAAAATGGTAAAAAGTATCCGAAAATAGTGCCTCATAACCCGGGTAGAGTCCCCTGACAACTCTCCTCACATTCCTCCAGAGTCGGAAAAAGTCTGAGTTAACTTTTCGGAGAACCATAGAAAAGGGGTGAAAATTGAAAAATTGTATCCGAAAATAGTGTCTCATAATTCCCTGACAACTCCCCTTGCATTCCTCCAGAGACCAGTTCAAAAACTTAAAGTTTGGTAAGAACCATGCTGGGGGGTCTCCATGCAACAATTGTATCCGAGCCAAAGCACTCATGGAGCGGATGCATTCCTCCATGATGTGAAACAGCCGTTTTTTTTCTGAGTGCTCTCAAAAACCGGGTTTCCGATTTCGTGCGGATGGTAGCTTGAAAAACATGAATGCATTGTTTTGACGGAGGAGGGGAGGTATCGATTCTGCTCTCCGTTGTAAAATACAACGGGGGAGTGCAAAAGTGTCCGGGGCTTCAGCCCGAAGCGCCGAAGGGTTGAGCTTTTTGGAGCCCCTCCTCCGTTGGCGCTCGGAATTTTTTTTAACTTCATTTTTGATTATTTTAAGATATAATTGACCGTTTTCTTTACTTTTTCTGCTTTCCACGGGTGGGGGTGCATGGCAGGCCGCCTATGAGCTCCCAAATTCGGCCTAGAACCTCCGGGAATTGTGGGCTAAGCTCCATAAACTGACAAAGTCACCCAGAAATGTCACTTTTATAGCCCAAAAATATATAATACAAATTCATTTAAATAGTAAAAGGTACAAGTGTGCTCCGATTTACCCGGAATTTGACTTATATAGCCCCATGATAGTGAATAAAAATCATTTTCATGGAAAAAGTGTTAAAATGCCTGATTAATATGTTTGTAATGCTGGCAGCCGTTTCACTGCTGTTAGCAGGGTCTCACACTCACAGGCACCTATGCAGAGATCCAGGGTGATGCACAAGGCTTTTATACCCACTAATGAGTCTCTGAAAGGCGGGGAAAAGTGCTGTGAATAGAGGGAGAGAGCAGCCACAGAGAGGCGGGCTGTGAGAGCCACAGAGCGCACCCAGAGATCTCCTTGCAGCGCATGGCTCTTGCACCCAGACTGCACACAGAGAACAGGCTGCTTCACAGCACTTTACAAGCCAGGAAAAGTGATTGAATCCTGGGTATACATGTTTTAAATAGTCTGATACCTCCAGGGCGCATCACCACATTTTACAAGCCAGGGAAGGTGCCTGAATCCTGGGTAAACATTGTTTAATTGTTTAAGTGTTTTTAAATGTGTGAAACAGTGTTTTGTCACTTTCAAAACTCTCCCGTCATTGACCGGAGAAATTGGGTCGATGTTGTATTCAATCTGACCGTTAATATTCCAGTGAGACGAAGTACGTACAATGACCGGAGTGATCCCATGTTAATTTTGTCCCAAAACCGGAGCATTCCCTCACCCTCATGGGGACCTCCATTTTGTCCCCATAAGGGAGGCGAGTCCCCACACGTGACTGTGTAAACAGATTTAGGTCCCCACAAGTATAGTAATGCTAGGCCACACACACACACACACACACACACACACACACACTGCGCTGTCACATGTTATGTAACTCTGATGAATCAGCAAACAGGAAATACAAAGAGTTTGCAGAAGTCTCATTGGACTCTAGTACGCTGGTTTTTAACAGAGAAGTTATGTTATCAGTCTAACAGAGTAAATAATGAATCTGTTAAAAAGCAGATCTTGGTGTTCTCCTTCTGCTCCGTCGAGCTGTAAAATGGCATCTAGCAGTCTGACTTCATTCCTTCACTTTAAACACCTTCACATGTCTGCAGCTCCTCCCTTTGTGTTATAACCAGCCTTACCAGCTGAACCAGTTCACATCCAGGGACTCTGTTCATTGAGATAGAAATAGAGCTAAAAACAAGCTCAACAAAGTTATTGAAAACATGAATACCAGTGTGGAAATAACCCAGTAAACATCCTGCAACCTCACTGAAGTTCAATTGTTGAGGTATTTAAGTACTCTAGTGTTAACTGTGCATTCAATTGTTCCCTATTATATATATATATACATGTGTTTCTGGATTATTAACCCTGCTGCATTTATTGCATCTATTACTGTATTCTCCCAGAATATGAATGGACTTTTTTGTTATTGGCACCAAAACTAATGTATTTCATTGATTTATGATTTCAAAGTTGTAGCCCACCATTGAACAAATAAAACATCAAATAAAAAGTGAACCATTGATGCCTGAGCTGGACCGATGTTATCCTCACCATTTTGTTTATCTTCCTGCACCTCTGTTCATCGCTCAGGTGGAAATAACAGAAAAGACTTGAGGAGAAAACAGAGCTTGGACTACCATCTAGTGGACAAACAGAAAACTACACCCACACACTTTGAGCCCAACAGCTGACTGTGAATTACTGGAAATGGTCTGTGTTTCTGACAGACGTGGAAAATATATGTAAAAGTACACCCAAATACCTGTACTTTCTACTTCTTACATGTTGAACACAAATACCTGTACTTTCTACTTCTCACATGTTGAACTCAAATACCTGTACTTTCTACTTCTCACATTTTGAAACACAAATACCTGTACTTTCTACTTCTCACAATTTTGAACACAAATACCTGTACTTTCTACTTCTTACTTGTTGAACTCAAATACCTGTACTTTCTACTTCTCACATGTTGAACTCAAATACCTGTACTTTCTACTTCCTACATGTGGAACACAAATACCTGTACTTTCTACTTCTTACATGTTGAACTCAAATACCTGTACTTTCTACTTCTTACATGTTGAACTCAAATACCTGTACTTTCTACTTCTTACATGTTGAACACAAATACCTGTACTTTCTACTTCTTACATGTTGAACACAAATACCTGTACTTTCTACTTCTTACATGTTGAACCCAATACCTGTACTTTCTACTTCTTACATGTTGAACCCAAATACCTGTACTTTCTACTTCTTACATGTTGAACACAATACCTGTACTTTCTACTTCTCACATGTTGAACTCAAATACCTGTACTTTCTAACTTCTTACATGTTGAACTCAAATACTGTACTTTCTACTTCTCACATGTTGAACTCAAATACCTGTACTTTCTACTTCTTACATGTTTGAAACCCAAATACCTGTACTTTCTACTTCTTACATGTTGAACACAAATACCTGTACTTTCTACTTCTACATGTTGAACACAAATACCTGTACTTTCTACTTCTTACACTGTTGAACACAAATACCTGTACTTTCTACTTCTCACATGTTGAACCCAAATACCTGTACTTTCTACTTCTTACATGTTGAACTCAAATACCTGTACTTTCTACTTCTCACATGTTGAACTCAAATACCTGTACTTTCTACTTCTTACATGTTGAACCCAAATACCTGTACTTTCTACTTCTTACATGTTGAAACACAAATACCTGTACTTTCTACTTCTCTCATTTTCCAAAACAGCTGGGTTTCTTTAGTCTGAATGTGTGTTTGATGCGTGATCATTATTCTTTAGAGTCATTGCGTGCCTATTGATTTCAACACGATCCGTGTATCCATCATTTCCTGGTCTTCTCTAAAGAAGAGGGACCAATGGAAACGTTGTCATGTTGCCGTTGTTCAGCATGGAAACATTCATTAGCTAACAATGACATCATTGTTCTATTATGGCCTATAATTACAAAAACAACACTCCTTATAATACTTCTGATTATTATTACACTAGGACTCCTCAACCACCTCCTTTTTGCAGCAAGCTGTAATCTCTAATATTAATATGTAAGGTACATCTGTTCTGACTGGGTTAAAACCTTTGAAAGGAACAATGTCCAGGTGAATTGGTATAGGCTCTGTGCACAAGATGGCGTCTATGAACTTCGGCGGGTAGGGGAGAGGTGTATCAGAAGGGTCAAAGAGAACAAACTCTTTGACAAAGCCATACCACTGTCTGTGTGTGGAAGCATTGAGGAAGTTTTCAACGTGGCTTGCCTTCTGGTCAACTACCAGAACGGACCACTGGAGCATGGGCAAGCCTGGGCAGCAATGATTAAAAGATTTCTTGCTCCCAAACCAATTGTGTATTTCATTGTGGTCATTACAAAAAGCAGTTATATCATACTATGTTTAGGTACTAACGAATTATATCCTCAAAACAAACGCACACTTAAATAACATAGGAAAATACATAATTTAATAAATCCACAATATGATAACATTTTACAGATTAATTTAATAAACTTTTACAAAACATAGGTTGATGTTATATCGGGGGAAAACATACATATTTAAACATTTCAATTAGTCTCTGCATATTTAAGTAATGCTAGTTTATATAACAGATGAACAGATGTACAATATCTAGAAAGTAGATGCAAAAAATATATATAATGTGTGCATTTCCAACATTTCCTCTGAAAGAGTGTTGTATCAACGCAAGATAAGTTAGTTAGCATCCACAACTTTTGTTAATGGATAACTATTGAGTAAGTTGAGTAGTGAGCCATTCGTTTTAGGTGATTATACACAATGATCATACTCCATATGACATTAAATGTCTGCCAATAAACACCCCTTTCTTCCTCACATTGGTCCTTTGAGTAAAGGATCTTTTTACTTATAGAACACACTTGGTTCTGGTTTTAGCAATTGAAAGAACTATATACAGGAACATATTCATGTTAGATCAGTAATGTATAGTGTGATGTAGTATGGTACACTAATGTAGTGTAGTGCATATCAGTCCATGTAAAAATAAAAATAAAAATAATCTCCCTTCTCCCTAATGGTTGCAGCCACCTCGCAGTCTCTGCAGATACGCTGTATAAGGATATCCTCCTCTGCAAAAACTACGAGATCGCACCACTCCATCCCTGTGAGTAGGAGCTGGCCTTGCACCTGCCAATAGTAGCTATGAGACTGCTTCAGTTTTAATGTGCCACTTTGCATTTTTAAGTAGCTACAGTCCACATAACTTTTCACATTTGGGCATTTTATTTCTACAAGTCCAAAAGGTGGGCTCTCAGTTGGGTCAAACACCAGACCGTCAGGAGATGCCCCTAACCAGGGGGCATCTGGGTGAATGACAAACCCACACGGCCAGTAATTGGTGTTTTTAATCCGGCAGTATTCCTGGATGGCAAACGGTTCCAGTGCCAGTCCCCTCTTCATCGACGCCGTTTGCGCCACTCCCTTCCGAATCCGTTGTGCCAAGTTTTCAGCCGAACTCTGACCTCGAACATGGCATACTTCCCTGAAACGGGAAGAAGTTATTCTTGGCCTCCTAACACGGTGCCATTCCACACTGTCGCTCTGCTCCCTTGTGGCCACCTCAATTTTCCTTGCCATGAGCAATGTTGTCGCAAGTGACAGTAGATGGAGGTGCTCTTCTTGATGACTGCCCACAAACTCACAGGTGGTAGGCTCCAGCCTATAGCCATCCACAGGTAGAGGTGGTGGTGGAGGGGCATCTGGGTGACGCACTATAACCCGGCTAAGAGGTAGTGGATGCTGGTATGAGATAGGGCTACCTTCCTGAACTTTTCCAAAGGTGGAGTTAACCAGTGGCACGTCCACACTTATAGCCATGGTGGTGATCAGTGGTGCGATGTCTGCTGAGAAGTCCTTGTATGCCTCGCTGACTTTGAGGACATCTGGGTCTGGCAGCTCCCCCCGCACGGCCTTGTAACGTGTACTCCTTTGAACATGTTTAAATGATAATTAGGACTTTAAGAACAATTTTACACTCAGACAACAATCACAAAGTTGTAGGAGGCTACAGACAATTACTTAGGACAATATATATTACCTTACACCGTCAGCAACTGTAAACTGCTTTGGCTTAGTGGAAGTGAACACCATGTCACTCACTCTGCCTGGTTTCACACCCTATTAAATTACAAAGAATTGTCAAATTAATTGAAATGGTTTTTCCGAAATAAAGTCCCATGGGTCGGAAGTAGATGGGCGGGACTTCGCCTCTCTATACATCCATGAGCAGAGCCGACAGGAAGACTCGAGCACACAGCTCGCGCTTCATTATAAAAAAAAAGAACACCATGCTGATGATGGCACATAACAGCTGGCGGCCGCAGATTACTCCGGGTCCCAGACCCCCCCCATACCCCAAAAATATTTGTATAGCAGATCTACATGAATCACACAAACGACCTATTTTGGATTCAAAACGGCGAATTTCGCCGAAAGGTGACAAGTTTGCATCCCTGAATACTAACAAAGGACTGGCTTATCTAAAGCTAGTTGAGTAGCACTTGAAATGTTGTGGCTCTATGAAACCTGATGTACTTTATGATTCTGTTTTCTTCAAGTTTGTATCTTCTTGGTCGAACGCACTTATTGTAAGTCGCTTTGGATAAAAGCCTCAGCTAAATGCAATCGAATGTAATAAAGAAACCACTATATATCCATCATGTCGTGGCAGTCTTATTTGTTTCAGTAAGAGTGTGGATGGTTTCGGCAGTCAATATTAGGAAAGAGATGGAAAATAAAAGTGTACTGAGTTAATAAGCTGGGCTTGATTGAGACAAATCTAAGGTTCGGGTTCAGGTTATTTTTTTGTACCCTAACGTAGATTTGTTTAGACTTAAAAGACGGTAGCCGTTTTGAAACACATTTTAAAATCTACACAAAAAGAATCTTCCAAAAAGTAACCCATGCTCAATCACATTGAAAAAACATTAGGACAATCATGAACAATAACATCTAAGGCATCAAAACAAGCTTACCGTTACATTTTTAGTTGACAATTTGTCAGGTTTTTGAAGTTCCAGACTTTGACTTGTGCTTTGTTCACTTTTGTGTAGCTGTGGGTTATCTGTGATCGCACCTGAGACCGACGGGGAGCAGTTCTCCTGTCCAGGCTCGAGAGCGCCTGATGAGTCCGGTCTGAACTCAATCACCTCTATGTGGAATGGATGAGTGATACAGGGCATGCTTACGTCTTCTTCTTCTGTTTCATTTTTTACACAATCTGTGCTTATACAGTTATCCACTTCCCCCAGTCCTTCTTGTTGTTCTGATACCTGACTTATGTCATATTCAATTGGCTCTTCTTTAGGTTTTTTGGGCAACGGTTCTAGTATTTCCTGTTCCAGCCTGGATCTCAGCTCACAGGGCTGCTCTCTGCCCTGTGAGGCTCCAGAGTATTGGCCAACATCTATTGTGGGGGGAAAGGGGAAACACAATATTTAATACTAATACATATTTTGCTTCAATTTGAGTATAAAACCTATATAGCCACAGTTCCCGCCTCCGGAAGCAGTCTTTATTTTTACACACCGGAAGACAGATGAAAAATGTAGACCAATAGAGGCGAAGTCCCGCCCATCTACTTCCGCCCCATGGGACCTTATTTCAGAAAAAGTATGTATTGAAGTCAATGGAGAGAGAAAGATTATCTCTCGATCCCGTTTGAATTGTGCCACAAATTACACATATGATGTTTGTCAATTTAAAAAAATAATTTCCATGTCAAAAAAGTCACAGTTTGTCGTAAAACTGTTGAAATATAAGACTATGAAAAATACGCAACTAGAAAGACTACAAATCCCAGAGTCCCGGTCCCGCATGCTGGCTCTCACGGAACCGACTAACTCCCCTTGTGTGTATGCACAGCTCTCAACGTGCCCAGACTTGGAGTGATTTTCACCTCTTTTAATACTTTCCACCTCATTCTGAAAGAAAGAAGTGAAATGTTCAACGTGACGGCCGTCTTGGTGTGTGGAGCGAGACGGGAGATGGAGTTCATTGAGCGGTTTCACACAAACAAAGTGTTACCTCACAGTTTTACGACACATTTTTATTTGTTTGAGTTGCAAAATTATCTTTTAAATTGACAAACATCATATGTGTAATTTGTGGCACAATTCAAACGGGATCGAAAGATAATCTTTCTCTCTCCATTGACTTCAATACATACTTTTTCAGAAATAAGGTCCCATGGAGGTCCCCCGGAAGGGGAGGGGCTTCGCCTCTCCATTGGCTATAATCTCTATTCTTTGTCTAATCATGATCAGATGTTTACTACACCCAGGTTTGGATATTCCCTTGAGAGGATTTAGCTGTTTTTGTGAGGTTTTGGTAGTTTTCATTTCCTGTGCTCCTTTTCACTCGTTTACCTGACAGCACGGTAACTGATGCCACACACCTTAACTCTGGAGGTTTAGCTTCAGGGGTTTGGGTTAAAGAGAAAGTCAGAGAGAAGCAAGCACTCTTCTAATGCAGTGTTTTTAATAACAGTCTCACTGAATGTTGTATTTATATTCTTCATAACTCATGTGACCTAGTGTCTCCAAATAATTACAGGATATGATTTAAAAACACACATCTCTTTTAATTGGATTGTAGTGCTTCTATAATTTAAGATTTTTTTAATAATTATTTTTATAAAAAATGACATTGACCCAATGACTCAAAATCAGTGCAGCATTGTATTCATACACTGGACAAGAAGAACACACTTCTTTATGTTTTAGTCCACCTTATATTGTTACAAATAATGTAATGAAAATTAAGTATCTTTTGTTAAATAGTCAAATTAGCTTCCATGTCATGTGTCAGTGACTCCCAAATATATACCAGATAACAACACTGGACAAAATAGACACACCTCTTTTATTGGATTTGAGTGTTTCTTTTTAAATTGTATGCAATTGTTTTCAATTTGTATTAAGCAGTCTCTTTTCAATAGCTTCCATGTCATGGACACAAAATAACAGTTGGATAACTAGGGGCTATATCAAACTTGCCTTGCAGTAGTGGTATAATAGAGTTTGGTTACATGTAGGGTAAAGTGCTTGAGTAGAAGTATAAAAACAACAACAGTAACATCAAATGAAGGTCTGATAGCTACAGACTGCTGTGGAGGATCACTTTCACATAAATAAAATGTCCCTATGATTGTTTACATCACGTGCTATAGTTAACCAGTCTTATCTCATATTCAGGCTCATGCAGACACATTCACTTCACATATCTAGGCAGTTAAAATGTTTGCGGTAACCAAAATTGACAAACCTATTTTCGACAGCTTTATCTCTGGGTTGAGCACCACGTGCAGCACATTCCGCAGGCGCTTGTTTTCCTCGTAGTAAGCCTCCACAGTAGTTTCTATTTCTCCAAATATCTCCACGGCCGCGGTGGTTAAGCGTTCAGTTAAAAAACTCCGTAAACGCAGCAGTTTGGTGTTGGACATCTTGAGGACGAACGTAATGTTAGATCAGTGTTGTATTTAACTTCTCCTCGACGCCGTACAAAGCGCGTTTCACTCAAACACACAGAAACCGTCCGGAAAATTGAAGATGACTTCCGTTTACATCAGCGCCCTCCTCAGGACGATAGGCAAGTAGCATCTGTCACTAAACTCGAGAGATGCGTTATAGTTATTACAACGTGACTTCACTATTATTTAACAACTCTTTTTATTGGGTTCTTTTATTTGGGGTTAAGTACATTGTCAGAATAAGTGAGAAGTTAATTTAACTTCTGTTAGACAGCTATATGCCATACATTTTTGCATACATTCACAGTAAATATGTATTCAGTATGATATGTGACAGCATCAAAGAAATCAATCAATAGATGAGAGTAACACGTGCGTCACTTCTGGGCAAAAATGACTTTTTGGGGAAAACAAAGCGCAACTAGCCTATTAAGATACATGTATATTGTCCAAATGTCATTAAAGGAGGATCTTTGTTCAACCTATAAAATACAAAAACACTTTATTGAATCTGATGATGAAAATATGTGTGTGTTTGTCTTGAGTGTACATGCACCCAGGTTAAAGTGTGTGTCCCGTTCATTAGTGGATTAAAACACGCACAACGTCCACAGAACAACCAAACAGACACAATCAAATCATTGGAAAAACAATGCAGAGCCAAGAGAATATAAAAATGTCCTTTAATAGTAAAAAAGTTCTCTGTGCTTTTCATAGAGCCCTGTGGTTTACGGCATATATTACAGTTGTAACAGCAGTGTAGACAACTAACATTCAAATCCAGCTTAGTGATCAAATTCAAAACAAAGACGGAGTTAAAACAGATGATGCATTTTGTAAAATACCAAATATATTAATTTAAAAAAGGAGAAAGGAAGCAACACATCAGTTTAGGCACAATAAATAGAAGTGCAGTGTTTGACACGTCCACGTCCTGTAACATCATTTCCGTTTTCCTTAGATATGAAAAATGCATAATAACAAAAACCAGTGGACTTTGTGTCAGAGAGAAGAAGACATGGACTTTGGATCAATGTTGGTACAGAAATATCTAACATATGTATGAAATTAAAGAATAACAAATGTGACAATGCAACCGTTAAGACGCCGAAAAGCATTTTACGTCAAATAAAAAAAGGCAAGGAAAATAAATCAAACGTTCTGTATGAAGGGGAAAACATGCACTTCTGGGGAATGTTAACAAATAAATAACAACTAAAACCACTAAAAATATGTCGATGCAAAATGTTGACATATCTAAAAAAACAAGCATAATGAAATCTAAATTAGGGATGGGAAATATTCCAAAAACAATATTCCTCGATTATAAAAATACAAGAGTGAACGTTCTGTCTGACGGTCCACAACATGTCATCATGCATGTCCCTTGGGACTGTGTACTAAAGGTCTATTTAAAAGTTATTGTTTAAAATGAGGGATAATGAATGTGTCGATGCAACCGTTGAGATGTCGTTTTCTGTCATATTCAAAATGCGCAAATTCACTTTCTGTCTGACGGGAGGAAACCCGGAGTTAGGAATGAAAATAATGCGGCGATAGAAGCATCTTCTTTCGATATAAAAATAATGACTTTTCTGTCTTTGGAGTCCCTTAGTAACAGGGTGGGAGCAGCTGTATGAACACGACCTGCAGCTGTCTCTCTCTGCACTATCACCTCCTCCTCCTCTCTCCCTCACCGAGCGTCTGCAGGGTGGGGGTCTCTGAGGGTCTCTGAGTAAAATAGAGTGAATTTTCTGTCTATGGAGTCCCTTAGTAACAGGGTGAGAGCAGGCAGTCCTCTTCACAGAGACCTGCTGTATGAACACACCTAATGCAGTGTCTCCTCCTCCTCTTCCTCACTCACAGAGCGTCTCCAGGGTGGGGGTCTCTGAGGGTCTCTGGGTCTCGCCCCTCTTAGTGTCTCTTCTCTCTGGCTCTCTCTGAGCCTCAGGTCCTGCAGAAAGCAGCCGATCTGAGGAGCTCTCCTCCTCCTCGGGGGGGTTCTCCTCGTTGGACCCGGACCCCGGCAGAGCTGTGTACGTCGGGACGGCGTTAAACATGACGAAGCCCACCATGATGACCACGAAGGAGATGATGTAGAGAGTGGAGAACTGAGAGAGGAAGAGATGTTACTGAGAGACGTCATGTTTACACGTTGCATGTTTTATCTAACTGCGTTTTAAAAGAATCAGAATCAGGTAGGTTGACACGTACGAGCAAGTTGACGGAAATGTAATTATAGACTTATTCACACTCTTTCTACCACCTTCAGCTGTTTATACATAGTCCATACAAGGAAGGACAAGAGGAAAACACATGGGAATCAATCAAAAACAAACAAGTTTAGTTTAGCATCACTAGCATTTAGCATCCTAACAAACTATGAGGCAGCTTTCATTTCCTTTTGCATAAAATAAGGATAAGTCGTGTTGATGTAAGACAAAAGCCTGATGCATATCAGCTTGAATACACATTTGAAACAGCTAAAGTCTCCCTGACTGGTTATCAAAGTGCCTCACGCTGTAGTGGAAGAGGAAGAGTCCACAGAAGAGGCTGAACAGGTCGGCGGTGAGCAGAGACAGATTCACCGCCGTGGCACTCGTCATCTTCACCACCACCGGCATGAAGCTGTACAGAGAGTACATACACAGAGCATACACTGCAAACCACAGGGCTGCACACACACATATTTCAGTTAGAGACCATTGACATACACTCAAACACTCTTAAATTGACAAAACAGGAAGTTAACTTACACGTGTGAAAATCCCATTTTATCGCTGCAACTGCGTGTGTTTCCAGAACAGCTCTGCAACGACAACAAGTTAGCATGAGAGTACACACTTTAATAGGTGTGGGTGTGTGTGTGTGTGTGTGTGTGTGTGTCTCACAGCTGCACTCCGCTGATGAGGGTCCCGAAGAGTCCCATCATGCCGAGGAACTCGATCCGGCTCAGGTTCTTCACCGTTTGTTCCTGACAGACGTTAGAAATGGCGTACAGAACGGCACTGAGGAGAACCAGACCATCGCCCAGAACCACACTGCTGGCTACACACACACACACACACACACACACACACACACACACACACACACACACACACACACACACACACACACACACACACACACACACACCCACACACACACACACACACACACACCCACACACACACACACACACACACACACACACACACACACACCACACACACACACACACACACACACACACACACACACACACACACACACACACACACACACACACACATCACACACACACACACACACACACACACACAC